GATATGGAGTTGGTTCTTACCGAGGATGACTTGGAGGAGTTTTGCGCCAAGGTGGAGGGGAAGGACGGCGGGCCGGAGTGGCAGCTGATGATGGAGAAGACCGCCAAGGGCATGCAGTACACGGGCTGGCGACGGGACCCCGAGGTCCGCTGCTTATAATTGTGTTGTAGTTTTGACGGAGATGTGATGTTGCGCCCTCGCGCCCCTTCCAAAGCTCAGCAGATTTATTCTCGGGGATCCGAAGAGCAAAGCTCAGCCGATTTATTCTTTGAAAGATCATGTCGCGCGGTCTTGTGCTCATCCGCACTCATGCGCGGATTTTTAACTCCCCCTCGCGACTTTCTTTTCCGCCTTCGGCCCCTGTCTGTCCCCCCAACAGCAAGGTCTCACGTTATGCTCCCCTCCCCATTTCTTTCGCCATCGTCCCCTTCCGTCTTCCCCCAACAGCAAGGGCCCACAGAGTACCGCAGTCGCACAGTCATGGAGCGGTGCTCGTCGGCGCTCATGCGCGACTTCTTTTGGGACGACGAGTTCCGCGCGGCGTGGGACGACATGCTCGTGCAGGCGCGCACCATCACCGCCTGCGAGCGCACCGGCTTCCAGATCGTCCACTGGGTCCGCAAGGTGAGTTGCTGTGTTGTCTTTGTATGAAGAAGGGTCTGGAGTGATGGATGTGTTGAGAAAGGGTGAGGGAAGGTGATTTCTACTGACCCGCTTCGTTGCTGCCCAGGGCTTCCTCTCTTCCTTTCACTCGTTCCCACTCCCGTGCCGATCTCGTTGCACTTCATCCACTCCTGTCCCACCCCTGTCTCAAAACTGTCTCATTTCTGCCCCATACCTCCCGTATTGCAGTTTCCGTTTTTCTGCAAGGACCGGGAGTACGTGATAGCGCGGCGCATCTGGTCGCACGACGACACATTCTACTGCATCACCAAGGGCGTGCACCACCCCGAGGTCCCCAAGCGCGACAAACCCCGCCGCGTCGAAGTCTTCTATTCCAGCTGGCGCATCCGCCCCGTGATTGGCGCCGAGGGCAGCAATGCAGCGGAAGTCATGCTGTTTCACCACGAGGAGATGGGGCTGCAGAGGGATATAGCGAAGCTGGGCGTGCGGCAGGGCATGTGGAGCGCTGTGAGGAAAATGGAGCCGGCGATCAGGAAGTATGAGAAGCAGCGTGCAGAGGCGGCACGGCCGCTCAGCCGGTGTGTTTCGCTGGCGAATCTGCACACGCCGATTGTGCCGTCGCCTGGGAGTAGCCCGGATGGGGAGGAGGATGGGGATGGAGGTGCGGGGGAGGGGAGTAATGCGGTGAGGAGGAAGGGAGCTTTGAAGAAGGGTGGGATGGGGATGAGGAAATGGGTGAGCTTTTCGGATTTGGCGATGGCTGGGGAGGCGAGGAGGAGGGGAGGGGTGGAGGAGGATGAGAGGAAGGAGGAAGAGGAGGAGAGGGATAAGGGAAGGAGGGTTGTGGATGAAGCCGCAGAGCGGGAGGGACAAGGTAGTAGTGGCAGGGCAGGCAGCAGCCAAGTTGTAGTTGCAAGTGGTTCAGGCAATGTTGGTGCTCGGTCGCCAGGTCAGGGCTCAACTGTTGGATCTGGAGACTGCAGAGGAAGGCGACGGTCTGGATCGGCCCAGCAGGAAAGGAGCGATTCTTGTGATCGGGGGAGCGAGGTGACAGTGAGGAGTGGCCCGGTTATGGGGGGTGATGCTAGGGGAGAGGAGAGGAGAGGGAAGGCGGGAGCGGTGAGGGTGGGATGGGTGGTGGCGACAACTGCTTTGGCTTTCATCTGTGGAGTGGAGGCAGGGGTGCTGATGAAGCTGGTGGTTGCAGGGGCGGTGCAAAATGTGGCTTCCAGGCGTGCTGCTGCTGCAGCTAGAAAGGAGAGATTGCAGAATTAGGCTGGTGCATGTGGTATAAAGCTGATCATGGTGTAGTCAGCGCATCCTCCCAGTTGCCCAATTTTGGCTTCAGATTGGCGGGCAGTGCTTCTTGGTTTTATAAACTGTTGTTTTCCATATGAAGCATGTATGTCTTGGTACGGTAATAATTTCTCTTGTGGAACCTTAAAGCTCGCGGCCCAAATTGCGGGCCGCGCCACTGGGCAACCTTAGTAAGGTTTATTGATAGTTGTTTTGCAGGTGCTGGTTTTGCGAATTGAGGTTACGGGTTGTACGAAGGAAGTTAATTGGCTGGTCAATTTGAAACACTGAGCTGATTGGCTAGCAAAATTGAAACAGTGTTTGCGGAGGGGGTTGGGTGGGAAACTGGCAAGGATAGTATTTGTGCAATATGGGACTCATGCAACCAAACGTGAAGTGGCCCCTGGGGTCTACTGAGTCAGCGAAATGTGTCTGAGATTGGCGAGAAGTTGGGCGAAACCAAAGCCCTCAACCCACCCAACACCTCGACTAGCCAACCCTGCTCCCTCACCTCCCAACATGCAACTTTAGTAAAGTTGTACAATTTGGGCCGCGAGCTTTAATCTACATTGTACAAAGAGATCAAGCTGACATGCCTGCCTGATTATCATAGCCTATGGCTACACTTTCATTTCTTCCCTTTTCCTGCCAGCTGTCGCACCCAACAAAGTGGCGGATCGCACAGAACTTCGCGCCAATTTCCGTCTGACTCCCCCTTGTGGTTCCCTTCGTTCCGCTCGTTCCCCCAGTTTGCTTTCGCACCCCGCCACAACTGCTGGTCGATGCTTTGTGAGGGGCGAAATCCCCCCTGCGAAATCCCCCCTGCGAGTTCAACATAGATCTCTGATCAGTGCTAATTGAGCTAGCAAACGTTCTATAACGCAAAGGAACTTACGGAACCGTATTGTACCCGCGATTGTTCGTTTCCCCTCTTCCGCCCTTGTTAGTCAGCATTGGTCCGCGCTTGAGCGGGGTCAGGTTATCGTTCCCCACCACGTAAGCCGCCGCCGCGACTCTCGCTAGTGAAAGCGCAGCTGCAGAGCCCCATTGTGCGCCGTGGGTCACGCTGAACCACCCGAGGGTTTCATCCCGCGTCGCTGTACTTAACGACAATTTTCACCTTAGATCTCCAACTCCGCTTCCGCTCCCGAGTCCCGACAGCCCTAAACTGCACTGTGCTGTGCTCGCCTTTTATAACTCTATAATCTATACTTGCCACTGTGCTGCTTGTTACGTAGGACACTGTTTCTTCTCGTAGGAAGCCGCATTAGTGGGGGTTCGCCGCATTAGTAAGATTGGAGGCGGCGACCAAAAGTAGCATTATTTATTTAGCGACGTTATCCATGAGTCGGAAGAAAGCGTAGTTTCAAGTGACACGATTGTGACATACTGTAAGCTGCACCGTTTCGTCTTTGGACAAGTCGAGCCGCGAGCAGCTCGCGCGAACCCCAGTACGTTAAAATAGTAGCGACGTTCGGAACCGTTTGTTCTTAGGAGGACCAAAGCCTAACGCCCGATCGCAGAATACGTGCAAACAAGTCGACATAGAAGCCTAGTGACAAGCCTAATGAACGAGCCTACATGAAGGTTTAGTAAGAAACTAACAAGCCTATATGAAAGCCTAATGGCAAGCGTATCAAGGGTAGCAGGCTAAAAATAAGCGTACGTCAAGGGTCACGCGGATCATCGTGGCATCAGAGGCAGCACAAAGCGGCTCTGCCCGTTTGTTTCTGAGAATACTCAAAAAACACCCTGCAACAGGCATAACGCACATCATGGTGGCATCCGAGGCAGCACAAAGTGGCGCTGCCGGGTCGCCGTCTCGCGCCGCGATGCTCGCCGCAAGCAACGCTGGTGTCGGCTCGTCAGCGAGCAGCGCTTCGGGCGGCGGCTTGACTGCAGAGGAGGACGTTACTGTTCTCGAGGTACCGCAGCCACGTGGCGCTCTTCCAGTGGTTACACTTTCCGTTCCGCCATTTTTCCCCTCCAGGCCTTTGTTTCCTTTTGTTTTTTGCCCCTTCCTGGCTTGGTACTTGTCCCCTCCCCTTTTTCATGCAACCTCGTCCCTCCTCCATCCATCCTTCGGTTTCTGCGGAAACTGCTAAGTCGTATTTTTTCCCTGCTTCCCCCGCTTCGTTGCTCCCGTACCTCAGTCGCAGGCTCGGGCGTGGGTCGAGCGATGCTTGGGTCGGCAGCTTCCGGCGGACCGCTCTCTCCCCGATATCCTTGAGGACGGGCAGACGCTGTGAGTCCTGCTCCTATTCCGGTGCGCGTTCAGTTGACTCAGTGCGTTGCTGGGTATTCGTAGTGTGCAAGGCGACCGCGCTGTGAGGCTTGCTCACGTTCTTGAAGCTTACTTATATTGCGCAAGTCTCTCGGTAAAATCCCGAAGTTTTAGCATCAACCTCGCTGCTGCTTTCCGTACCGTCAGTATTTTCTCATGAGCTCTCCTTCCCCGTTCTCCGCCCACTAACCACTCCCCCTCCCAATCCCCTCTCCACCCGTCCCCGACGCCTCCTTTCCCGCCCCCTCACACTTCCATTCCGCCCGCTCACACTTCCATTCCGCCCGCTCACACTTTCATTCCGCCCGCTCACACGTTCATTCCGCCCGCTGCTATTTTGGCTCTCCTTTCTGAATCTCTCAACACGTCACTGCCTGCCCCTTCTGCCTTTCCCTTCAAACCACCAAATCCCACCCTTCTTTTGCTAAAACCTTCCCCTTTCCAACCCCCCCCCGTCTCTTCCCCCGCTCCCTCCTCCTTCCCCCACTCCTCACCGTCCCCGACTTGTCATTTCCCCATCCCCCTCACCACCCCCCGTTTCCCCAGTGTGGAGGTGGGGCGGGCGGCTCAGCGCGCAGCCAGGGGATGGCTGGTTATGGGGAAGGCAGGGGGAGGCGGAGAGGGGGGAGGGGCGCTTGGAGGGAAGGGGGCGGGCTCTTTTGCGCGATGGGGCGGGGGAAAGAGCGGAAGCAGGGCGGGGTCGAAGGAAGGGGAGGATTGGGAGGTGGGGGACGAGGGGGAAGGGGAGGCGGAGCAGGGGGAGGGGGAAGCGCCGTCCGCGGAAGTGGGGCGGAACATGGCGTTCTGGCGCGCGTGTGTGAAGGTGGAAATGTTCCTCAAGGTGATTATAACGGGGGGCGGGAGGGAGAGGGGGTGGTTTGGGTGGGGGGAGGAAAGGGGTGGGAGGGATGGGAAGACGGGGAAAGTTATGGGGGCAAGCGAGGGGAGAATGGGGGCGGGCGGGAGAGTGGGTTTGGTTTGAGAGAGTGGGGAATGCATTGAATGCTGAATGAGCGCTCTCAACTGTGGCAATGCAGATCGCACAAGGAAAGAGCGTTCTCTCTTTTCCCTCCCCCACCCTCCCCCATTCCTCCACAACCCTCCCCTCCCCCTCTCCCGCTTCCCCGCCCTCCCCGCACTTCTTCCCGTTCCCCACTCCCTGCGCAAATCTGTGCCATTGAGGTCAACCCTCCACTCCCTCCGCCCACTGCCTCACTTAATTCCTCCCCAAACCCCGCGACTTTTGAGTCGACTCAAAAGTCACCTCAACCCTCCACTCCCTCCGCCCACTGCCTCACTTAATTCCCCCCCAAACCCCGCCGCTCCCCCCTCTCTCCCACACCCCCCTTCCCCATCTCTCCCACACCCCACTCCTCCACCTTCCTCCCCCGTCCCCCCTGTGCGGGGCAGATCTGTCGCAGCATAGGACTGTATGACGTGAACGTCTTCACCCTTTCCCCGCTCTTCTCCCCTCTTGCCCTCCCACACCCCCTTTACTCTCTCACTTCCACCCCCCCGCCCCTCACCCCCTCTCCCCTTTGTGCGGGGCAGATCTGTCGCGGCATAGGGCTGTACGACGTGAAAGTATTTACCCCTCCTGATGTATCATCCCACTCCCTCACCCCCCTCACTCCCTCCCCCCCCATCTCCCCCTCCCCCCTTTTCCCCCTGTGCTATGCAGATCTGTCGCGGCATAGGGCTGTACGACGTTAATGTGTTTACCCCACCTGATCTGGTGGAGAGGCGGGATCTGAGGCGGGTGTATCTGTGCCTGCGCACACTCAGCAAGCGCACCATCGGAATCAAGGTGGGTCAGCCGAGTCAACGCGGGTCATATGCGTCACGAAGTTAAATGAGTCAAAACGGGTCAAATAATTGGAGACAGTGCAAGGTTAGGGAACCCAGCAAAGTAAGAGCAAAGCGGATGAGATATCCATTTGTTTTGTCTTTTTACCTCACCCCAATGTTACATGGCCCTCCTGCTCCTGTTCTTCCTGTTCTTTCTCCATTGCACACCCCCTGTATTGTCACACCCTATATTATTGCTCCCTTGGTTATCACACCTCTCCTCGCCTTTTGTTCTTCCCTTCTCTTGGGAACCCTATCAAGGGCTTTAAGAGCTGCATGGTCACTGTGTGACCTTTTGAGTCAACTCTCCAGTTGTCTCTCCCCTGCCCTTATCGGGGAGGGGAGCCAGTTAAGATTTCTCAAAATGTTTTCATCCTTCCCCTTTCGGACCCTATCCAGGATTTTGAGGGCAGCATGGTGACTGCCACGTCAGCAACACGCCACCGGCTCATGTCGTCTGTATCCAAAACTATCCGACACACCACCACCGCCCTCTCACCCTCACCCTCCCTCTCCTCCTCCGCCTCTCACTCCAAACCAGCCCCAGCTGCACCGCCCCCAGCACTTTCCTGCCCTGCCCCGCCGCCCCCTGCTCTGCCCTGCCCTGCCGTACCGGGCCCCCCAGCTGCTCCTCCCCCTGATCTACCCGCCCCAGCTCTGCCCTCCCAAGCTGCCTTTGTTTCCCAATCTACTAACGTATCTGCTGCACCCCCTTCAGTTGTACCCCCCCCAGTTGTACCCCCCCCAGTTGTACCCCCCCCAGTTGTACCCCCCCCAGTTGTACCCCCCCCAGTTGTACCCCCCCCAGTTGCACCCTCCCCAGCAGAACCGCCTCCTAAGCCAGTCCCACCGTCACCAAGTATACCCTCCCTGGTTCCCATCTCCCCACCACCACCAGCACCACCCTCCCCACGGGTTTCTGCCCCTCTCACCGCTTCCAACTCCTCCCTTCACCTCCCTCCTCCTGCCGCTGCCCCTGCTGCTGCTGCTACTGCCGCTGCCCCTGCCACTGCTCCTGCTGCTGCTCCTGCTGCTTCCTCTCGCTCCCCAGCCACGTTTGGCAATCCTCCAAGTGAGGCCCTCCCCTCCCCCCCATCTCCCTTCCTCTGCTCCGCTTCCCCCTCCGCCTCCCCCTCCGCCTCCCCCTCCCCCACCCCCTCCGCCTCCCCCCTCTCCGCCTCCCCCCCCTCCGCCTCCCCCCCCTCCGCCTCCCCAGCTTCTGATTCCCCAAGCCCCTCTATCCTACCCGAACCGGACCAACTCCTTCCCCTCTCCCCCTTCCCCTCCGCATCCTCCCTCGCATCATCCCTCAGTTCCTCTCGCTCCTTCGCCACTCCCACCAGTGCTGCCTCCTTCCTCACCCTAGCCACCGCAAGTGCCACTAGTGCTGCCGCTGCTTCTAGTGCCGCCACTGTTACTAGTGCCACTGCTGCCACAGCCGGGCAGCCAGCAGCAGATCGCAGCATTCCGCGGTGGTGGGCGCCGGCTTACCCTCGCCCAGCCAGCCCCTCTCGCCGCTTCTCCCACTCCTCCTCTGTCGCCGCCTGGCAAGCATCTAGCGCTGCTGCTGCAGCAGCTGCTGCTGGTACTGGTGCTGCTGGTGCTGGTGCTGCTGGTGCTGCTACTGGTGGTGCTGGCGCTGGTGTTTCTAGGTCCGTCAGGGGTGATTATTTGCCGAACCTGCCGACTTGGCTCGGCCCGGAGCAGCAGGCGGTGGTTCGGTCGCGATCCCCGGCTCGGGTGCCCCCGTGGGTGCTCAGGGAGGGGGGAGGGCCTGCAGAGGCTGTAAGAGGGAGGAGGAGGTCGGCATCGGTCACTGCGGTGCAAAGGGTATGTGATGCGGTGCAATTTGGTGCAAAGGGTATGTGATGCGGTGCACTGCGGTGCAAGGCGTATGTGATGCAAAGGGTATGGTTCTTATGTGTTTTAGGGGCATGTCATGCGATGCATAGGGCATGTCTTTGGTGTGGTACTAAGGGTTTGTGATGTGCATTTTACTCTATAACTCATCTCTTCTTGCCCCCTCTCCCTCTCACATCTTCTCCCCACCCTCTCCACTTCCCCTTCTTCCCCCATCCTGATCCCTCTCCTTACCACCCACACAGGCGCCACTCGCTACAGTCACACCCAGACAGCCAACACCCCCCCGTACCCACACTTCCCCTCTGCGCTCCATCTCCCCTCCCACCTCTTTCCACCCATCCGAACCGGAGTCCCTCCCTGACACAAGCTCAATGGGGAGGGGCGGAGGGGGGCGGATGGGACAGCAGGAGGAGTTAGGCTTATTAGAGCAGCAGCAGGAGGGGCAGCAGGGGAGGGGGTTGGGGGCACGGAAATGGCAGTTGCTTGCAGCAGCAGGTGCGGCGGTGCTGGTGGGGGGAGCGGTGGTGATGGCTGCGCAGCGACATCAACGGCTGAGATCGACCGGAGCGAGCAGCGATCGTGAGAGTGAGAATCTGAGGAGGAGGAGCAGTGACTCACGGAGCAGAGGCAACCTAGGCAAGGGGAAGGGCTCAGCTGAAGCGGGTTTGGAGCCAGCAGCTGTAGGGAAGGTGGAGTCTGAGGGAGGGTTTTCCCACTGGCTGGCTTCTATGCCCACTGGCGCTAAGCTCACTGAGAAGGAGTTTGATGACAGGTAAAGTGGTGCTGAGCGGTGCTGAGCAGAGTAAGGAGCCTCTTGAATTTCAAAAGTTCAGATTTATAACTTCCTTGCAAGAATATAAGGTAGCCTGCTGTATTATTTTTCTTCTCTGCTAAGAGAGAGAAATAATCTGGCTCCCCAATCTAGCCCTGTATTATTTTTCTCCCCAATCTCAAGGGAGAAATAGACTGGCTAGATTCTGTTGTCACCCTTGGGACTTTCTCCCCAATTCGAGGTGACTTTTCAGTCGACTCAAAAGTCATTTTGTTTTCACCCTTGGGACATTGCTCCCCAATTCCCCAACGTCAGGTTCTCGGACCTTGAGAGGGAGGCAGTGGAGGTGGAGGAGGCGTTTTGAGTCGACTCAAAAGTCAAAAGTGAGAATTCACCCTGCTTGGACTTTTTTCTTATCCTTGGGAAACTTTCCCCCCCAATTCCGTGGCTTCAGGTTCAAGGAGCTTGAGAAGGAGGCGGTGGAGGTGGAGGAGGAGTTTCTACGCTGTCTGGGGCCTGCCTATAACGAGTACGGGGACAACGATGACGATGAGGAGGAGATGATGTCCTTCATTGCTGCAGTCACCAGCAAACCCGCCCCGGTTAAGAGCGGTGCAGTAATCACAGCACCTGGTTTGGCTCACACAGCGATGCCAGCGCCAGCAACAGCAGCAGGATCAGCAGCAGTGAGAGAAGCAGCAAGCCGAGGGACTGCAGGCCGGACAACAAGGGCAGCTGGGACAGCAGCGGCAGCAGGGGCAGCAGGGGCAGCAGGGGCAGGCAGAGGGTCATGCTCCTTGCCTGAAGCCAGTGCTAAGGGAAAGACCTCGACGGGGGGAATTGCAGGCACTGGCGAGTTTGACAAATGGGCACCGTTTGATGAGGCACACTTGACCATCGACCCGTTCCAGGGGCGGAAAGGTTCCTGTGAGCGCAGCAGCAGCAATGCAGCTGGCGTGAATGGCACTCGGGGGGGAGCCAGCAGCAGCAGCTACAGCAGTGTGAGTGGTGCGAATGGCACACGAGCGAATATGAGCAGAAGCAGCAACAGCAGGTTGAGCAGCAATGGGGCATGTGAGAGAGGCAGCAGCAGCAGCGGGAAGGGATCGAGCAGAGGCTATAGTAATGGCAGTGGCAGAGAAAACGGCAGTGGCAATAGCAGTGGCAGCAGCAGCAGTGGTACGCACCGATTCTCAAGCCCTCCCAGGGAAGAGTCTCAGCAGCAGTTTGTACCGGGTCTTCTTGTAAGGAGAGCAACCCAGGAGAAGTCCAGCAGCAGCATTAGGGACAGCAGCAGCAGCAGCAGCAGCAGCAGCAGCAGCAGCAGCAGCAGGGGCGCCGCAAGGTCAGCCGTTGCTGCTCCAGGGGCGGCTGCAGCAGCAGGAGGGGGCAGGGTTGGAGGCATGCCAGGAAAGACCTCGACAGGGGGAATTGCAGGCACAGCAGCAGGGCAGAGGCGAGCGGCTTTCAGAATATCCGAAGAGCTTGCAGGAGAGTCGATCCAAACGCTGCTGGCTGGTGGATCAACACATACGCCCCGGGCTGGTGAGTCGATGCACACTCCCTTGAGAGGTGTGCCTCGGACCAGCGGCAACGGAGGCCAATCAGCCTCAGCCACGGATGCAGCAAAGGCTGCAGGAAAGGGTGCAGCTAAGGGTGCAGGGCGGGGTGTGGGTGGTGGTGGCTCTATCGGGAGGGCTGGAGGCCGTGTGCATGAGGTGCAGCCAGGAGAGACCCTTTCTGGGATTGCAGTGAGAGAGGGGTGTACTGTTGCGGATATTTTGAGGGCCAATCCTCATATTACCTCGCCGAATTGTATTTATGCGCGTGACCGCCTTGTGCTGTAGAAGAATCACAGCGTGCGTGTGTACTCGTGTGTGTTCTTCTTTCATCGTTGTTCACTTGACCCAGTCATACGGTATGCTTTTGACATAACAGTGAATGTTTTTATCCTCTCGGATCACCCTCAGCAGAGTCAGGATACTGAACTAGCAGAAATAAGCCCCCCCCCCCCCCCCCCCCCCCCCCTTAGTATGGTCTGTCTTGCCTGGAAAGGGAAAATTACATCGTAGTTTTTCATTATGTGGAGCGACAGTAGGATATAGTTTGGAATTGTCAGATTGTTGGTCTTCCAGTGAATCACAGCCCATAATTTCTGGACAACATGTCAAATCGTTGCCTCTTTTTTATCACCAATGCTTCATCTTTATTTGTTATCCATGAACTTTAGCACAGTTGTTGTATGTTGTTTGCACATTCTGTAATATTCAGTGCTCGTTGTGTGCACGTTATAAAACTTCAGGTGCATTGAATGCAGAACATTCACACGTCACTAAATTACCTTCAACCATAACCAATAACCAATTTGAGCAGCTTTTCCCACCTGGCACTTGGGAGCATGACCCCGACCGGTCTAGGCGCGCGCGCATGCAGCTGCATCTCCCTGTGCGACTCGGAGGGTTTGGGATCCGGGCAGCAGCCTCTTTGAGTCCGCTGTCCTATGTTTGTGGATGGGCACAGGCCGCGCGTGATATTGCACAGTTGGGGGTGGCGGGCGAGGAGGCGATGTTTGCAGAGTACCTCACCACTTCGGCAGGGGCGGAGTTTCTTGACCCGTGGTTTGCCAAGGCTCTTGAGCAGCTGTCTGCGACTATACGCCAGGAGATGCCGGGCTTACCTCTGTGCGTAGCGGCCCCTCCTCTTCGGCTTTTCCAGGCGCGGCAGCGGTTGTTGGCGGTAGAGGAGCTCCAGACACTGCGTCGCTCGGCTCGTGACGATGCCACCTTGGCCCGTTTCACATCCCTTCAGGGCCCGGGGGCTGGTGCATGGGTTTCGGCGGTTCCGGCTCACTCAGATCTCACATTCACTGCGGCGGAGTGGGGCATTGCTGCTGCTATACGGCTCGGGCTCCCAATTCAGCAGCTGCAGGTGGCGGGGAGGTGTGTTTGTGGCACAGCATATGTTGACTCAGCAGACCCGCATCATGCCCTGAGATGCAAGCACCAGCATGGTCCATCTCGGGTACATGATGAGGTGAAGTTTGCGGTGGCGAAGATCTCTAAGGCGTCTGGGGGGGTGGTGACAATGGAGGATAGTGTGGTGCTGCAGGGGAAGCGGGTTGATGTGGCGGTGCGACGACCAATGGCTGGAGAGGCTCACGCCCTGGAGATCAGCGTCGCGGACCCGCTATCGCTGTCTCCATCTTTGCTAGGACAGTGCGGGCGTCAAATAGGCGTGGCGGCAAGAGAATGGGAGCGTCGTAAAACGAGCGATTACGCGCCTCTGCTTGCACGCAACCGGGGCGTGCAGTTCACTCCTCTGATAGTGGAGACGTGGGGGTGTCTCGGCGGTCGCTTTCGGAGGTGGCTTCGTCAGCAGGGAGATGCGCACGTGGGGCTAGCTGTGTCGCGGGGGGCTTGTCGGGAGGACGACACTGTGTTTTCGGCTTATCTTCTAGGGTCACTGAAGGCGCTCATCGGGGTGGCGTTGCAACGTGCGCAAGCCCGTGTCATCCTGTTTCGAGCGGCGTCTTCTATGGGGGGGATTAACGTTGACTTGGTGGACCGGGAGTGGGACGATGGCGATGCGGAAGGCGGGGCTCTCTGGGTGGAGGCCCCGTACATGGTGGATTCGCTGTTGTGATTGGGGGGGGGGGGGAAATGGGGTGTGGGATGGGATGTCTTGACAGGGTGTCTTGACTGGGCGTTTTGATTGGGTATCTTGAGGGGGGGTTTTATGTGTGTTGCATTTGGGTTCTTCTTGGCGGTTTCACTTTCCTTCTCCCTTTCTCTTTTCTTTTCTTTTCTTCGTCAAAATTATTTATACAACCAATAACCAATGAGAAGAAAGCGCGTTGTGGAGCCTAACAGACTTTCTCATAGGCGGCAATTTAGAGATCATGATTATTGTCTTTTGAGAATCAGATTTATCATGGCGTTTGCGTTGATTCTCCCAAGATTAGGGAACCATTGGACAACACTTATGCAATGTCGCCACACAAGTACAGTAGCCCAGTTTTCCCGACGTGATTGAGGGCAGGCAACATAAGATATTCGAGTGTTCGGTTTTGGCCAAGCATATGCCGAAGCCTTAGTTGAAATATATGGAGACTTGAGACTTGAGTTTCCCTTCATTGATGACAAGCAGCCCTACAATCAGTAAACAATTTACAGAATACACCGCTTCGGCATGCGAGGCACGACACGTGAATTCACCCAGTTGAGCACGAATCAGCAAGTTGAAAGTATTCCAAAGCTTCCAGAAACATGGAGCCAGCGGTCTATCGGGGCATACTTCACCATCACTAGCGTCACACGGGCCCTATGCAGAACCACCTTCGAGGCCAGCTTGCACATGCATTTGCCACCCATCTCGCTCGATTGGTGCAAGCTGAGCAGAGTGGCATTCCCACAATTCTTGCCACCCATGCACGAGAGGTTCAGTACTTTTAACTAAGTAAAAGCCGCGTTCTCCCACCACACTGTCCTGGAGGTGTGTGAGTTTACAGCACAATCCACCCTTTTCAGCTCTGTTGCTCGAATACACCTGCGAGTTGCCCCAGAAGTGCAACGTTTGTGGACTGTACTCCTGGTGAGTCGTGAACAGAGATAAATCAATGAGGCCAGCATTCCTTGGGACCGACAGTTGTGAATCACGCGCCGTCCTGAACTGCAGGTTGCTAGCAATCATAAGGGCGCAAGTGGTGTGATGGCAGCTGCGCAAGAATCCGGTGTGTGCCAGCGCACGACCCACCTAATGACGACCTTTCAAGAATTTCGTGGGCAATTCGAAACATTTCGAGAACCAGTTGTTGCAGTTTCCTTTTGAGCTCGCGAAGAGACACGTGTTGTGAAGGTACAACGAGAGGCTCAACAACACAGGGTTTCGAAAGGTACATGGAAAGCCACATTTGAATAGAGCATGGAAAATGTAGAGATACACAATTGAACGAAGAAACAAAAAACATACCATACTTGGTTGAAAAAACATCTTACGGTCTTGGCACAAATGAGGCCTGTCTTGCCTGGTACAGTTGGTCTCATCTAGAGTATCTACAGTGTCTGGTCAAACAGAAGCGATGACCATGGCTCGCGCTATCTTCACCGCCCGAACATATTTCTTAAAGGCCCTCCTTGTGCGTTTTCGGGTAATGAGACGTGCACACAGAGACTCCGGGGCTAACAGTTTACAGCCACGATGCATTTAAGTCGAAAGAACTCCTACTTAGTGATCTGAGAGAAGGGTGAAATTGGCGTTCACAAACTTTTAATTTCCGTCATCTGTCGAAGGGGATACACAACTCTACCCCTTCTAAACCAGAAAACTACCTTCATCAATCGGATTGACTTAGAGAAAGTACCTCTAGGCGGTAAAGATACCGGCGGTGAAGCTAGGTGTACATCAATTCACCATTCTGGGCAACTTTCTTCGAGATATCTTCTAGATGGTCAGAAGTTTAAATCCTTCTGAGAGTGGGGAACCAAACTGAGTTGCAATGAAACTCGGCCCATTACGGTGTCTCCACAATGTTGGTTTTGCGACGTCGACTGATTCACAGTAAACGTAGTAGCCCCTCGTATCTAGGGTTGATAAATCAATTACGGAAAGGTTCAGGATGACTCATGAACAGAGAATGCGTTCTTACTGCGAGCTGTAAATCTACAAATATGATTGGATTCGGTACTGTACTACAACATGACCTGCAAGTGCACCACTTTGGACGATTGAAAGTTGAACGGATGGGAAGAGAAGGAATTGAAAAACCTAACAGCACTCACTACAGTTCCGCCAATGGTGGTCCAAATGCACCTTGCTGACCGACCAAGCTCCCTCAACAAAAAATCCAGGCAGTAAAAAAAGACTTTACAAGCTGTACAGCTGTCAGCAATGTACGTAAAGGTGCACGCACGATGAATCACACACAACCACAACACTACGATATCGCGCTGCCCTCACGGCTCCACACATATCAGAATCGTACCTTCAGTGACCTTCTTGTTCGCCCTCCATTTGAAGTTTTATTTCCACTAGCGCTCAGATCCAGAATCAATCAACCACGAGGTTACCTGACTCTCACTTCTTGCCTACGAAAGCAGACGCTTAGCCTTCGCGAGATAAGTTACCCGTATTTCTCACAAAGTTTCTGACGTTTTCGAGCGGGGAAAACGGAGCCTGATGTGTGCCGTTCGTGGCGGAAAGGCCGTGATAATCCGCGGCGTGGAAGACGACGATGTTCGCGGCACGGCAGCGGCAGATCCTTCCATGCAAGCAACTAGAATGTGGTCCAAACAGGTAGCCCTCTAAATATTAGCACAGTTTTGCTTCTTAGTACCGCCTTAAACGGTCTAATTTCTCACATGCCCCAGACCGCATTTCATCGCTTTACATCCCGAGCAGCAGCTGCTTGCCACTCTGCCCCCAGATGACTCTTACTGAGAGTAATTGTGGGGATCTGCCTTTGGCGGGGACTTGATTTGCCGCTACCCTTCATCGACACTGGCGCCTTGATTTGCAAAAACTGCCGAATTTCTTCCTAGGACTATCGTTCTCTCCCCCCCCCACCTTCCTCCACAACTCATTTACTACTCGCATGTAGAAGGAGATCACACTTTGCGGACATCACACTCCTCCGCCCCGGACCGAGCTCGGGCCGAGCTCCTTTACGTGCTGCCTGCTGCGGCATTCCCTGCTGTCTCTTGTCTCTTACGCATCCTCCCCATCTTCACCTCCCCCTCCCCCCTTCTTTTCCCTCCTCCCGCTTCTCGTCCCCCCCACCCTCTCTCCCGGCCCCTCCCCGCTTCCCCTCCATCCCGCTCCGCCTCAGGAGGACGCGACGCCACTGCGCCATGCACTGCGATACGGCACGAGGCAGTGGGGCGAGCTCGAGAGATGCTCCCTGCTGCTTGCCGCCGCACTCCCCTCGCTCTTCTCTGCCCCCCCTCACGACCCTCTGTCATCCCCTTCCCCTTCCCCCCTTTTCTCTCAGGAGGACGCAACGCTACTGCGCCACGCGCTGCGCTACGGCACGCGGCAGTGGGGCGCGCTCGAGAAGAGCTCTCTGCTGCCGCACCGGGACAACAAGTCCTGCTGTAACCGCTTCCTCTTCCTCAAAAAGTCAGCCGCCTGTTCCCCTGTTCCCTCGTTCCGCATAGAAGTTTCTCTCCCCCCCTCCGCTCTAATCAAACACATCACAAAGACTTGTTCCAATCCCTGCCTACTTGAAAAATCATTCACATCACTTCAGCTTCAAGCCTTCTACTACAGCTTGCATGCCGCGCCTATATTTCCGCATCTTCCTGCTCCGGCCCTTCCCCTCGCCTAACTACCTCCAACCTCCGTTAAACCCCTGTCAGACCCTTCCAAGACCCATATTGGAGCCTCATCTTGTCCGTCAAAACCCCCCACCGTGCAGAAAATTCACCGAAGCTCACCGGCGCTGGCAGGAGGGAAGGGACAAACGCTGCTCCGGAGAGAGGCCCGGAAGTCCCATGCAAGACAAGGAAGGCACGTCGACAAGCGGGCGGGCGGCAGAGAGCGTCAGCAAGCGGAGCGGCCACAAGGATTCAGAAATCTCAGCAGGAGCAGGCGCATCTGCTGAAGCACCTGAAGCAACACCTGAAGCAGCAGCAGCTGCAGCAGCATCACCACCACCTCAAGCACTGGCAGCGGTGGCAGAACCAATGACGTACGGCCACCTGTCACTAGCGGCATGCGAGTGGCTGTTCCTGGGCCTGGGAGAGCCCAGGGACTGGCCTGAACTACACGACAACATTGCACTCACCGTTGCTGCCCTAAACGCTGGTGCAAGTGCTGCTCTTGACGGTGTTTTGGGCGCCGTTGGGAGCAGTAACGGTGCGCTGAACCATACTCGCATTGGTCCCGGCAGCGGAAGAGTAGAAAGGGGAGAAGGGGGAGGGGACCGATTTCCCCACTCAGATGGATTCCCTTCGCTGGTCTCTGGTGATGCCGCCGCCGCAGCTTCTGCTTCTTCTGCTGCTGCTGCCAGAACTTTTAATCTTTCCTCTGCTCGCCATGCCCCCCTCTCTGCTGCTCTCCCTGCTTCATTCTCCGCTGCTCATGGCACTTTGTACAGTCCGCCTTCCCACCAACCCTCTGCCAGGCAATCGCCATTTTCTGGGCAGTCGGCATTCGCCAGGCATCCACCTTTTTCCGGGCAGACGCCTTTATTCGGGCAGGCACCATCTCCTACACCGGGTTCTGCGCTCCCTTCAGTCGGAGGAAGCTTCCCCCCTCTTGCAACGATTCTAGCTCGCCATGTTTCACGATTGCGTGCTAATACCACCGGTGCTGCTCCTAACACCACCAGTGCTGCTGCTGCTGCTGCTGCTGCTGCTGCTGATGATGATGATTTTGCTGTTGACCGAACCGCCTGTGATTCGATGGCTTTTGGATCGTCGCAAGCAAATACCACTGATCCATCGGGTGCTTTCCTGCCGTTGATTTCGACCGCGCCACAAGACCGACGGAGCCTCGGCGACAGTGCTGGTTGGAGGCACAAGCGGAGGTTCGGCGATTTCCAAACGAGCTCTGCGGCTCCCTGTCGAATCACAGGTAAGGTCACGAACCAAGAGACGAGCCACGTTACGAGCCAGGCCACAAACCAACCAGGTTCGATGGTGCATGAAGCTACTCACACAGCAGAGAAGCGGGGTGATTCGGCCCTCCCCCAGTTGGGTGTGATAAACCAACAGCTGCTCCTGCTTCAACAGCAGCGGCAGCAGCAGCAGCACGACGAGCAGCAGCAACAACAGCGCCAGCAGCAACAGCGGCAGCAGCAGAAGGCACTGCTAAAGCAGCAGCTACAGGAACTGCAGCAGCTGCAGGCTCGGCAGGAGAATCAGCAGCGGCTGCAGCAGCTGCAGCAGCAGCTGGAGGTGGCACAGAGCGAGCAGGTGAGCCAGTTGAGAGGAGGAAAGCATGAAAATTACGAATCGGAAGAAGATCAAGCTATGCAGCTGAACCCGCAGCAGCGGCAGCAACAGCAGCAGCAGCAGCTGCTGCTGCAGAACCAACAGCAGTTGCAGCATCGGCTGCAGCTGCTACAGCAGCAGCTGGATGCGGCTCAGAGCGAGCATGCATGCCAGTTGAGGGGAGGGAAGCTTGGGAGCGAGCAATGGTTGAAGGATCAAGAGATGCAGCAGCAGCTGAAGCAGCAGCAGCGACGGCTTCAGCAGCTGCAGAAGCAACTGGAATTGAAGCAGAAAGAGCAAGAAACTCAGCAGCAGCAGAGGGACCAGCAGCAGCAGCAGCAGCAGCAGAAAAAGCTCCAGGCGCTCCCCTCTGTGATGCGAGAGTCCCTCCTCTCCCACCCGCTTCCTTCTCTCAAGATTCCGCCCCGCCAAACCCTGCAGAACCCTCACCAGCAATACCAGCACCAACAGCAACACCACCATCAGCAGCACCAGCATCAGCCGTCGCCTCAGTCCCAGGGGAGCAAGCAGAGTGCAGAAGGTGCAAATCGTTCCCCCAATTCCCTCCCAGTGTCTCCCATTGATCACGCTCACTCACCCCTGCACCACCCTCATTCGCCTCTAACCCATTCCTACCCATTGCTGACCCATTCGTACCCCTCGCTAGCCCACTCCCACTCCTCAATCTCCTTCCCAAACCACTCTTCCGCCTCTTCCGCTGCCCAACAATCCTCGCCCTCCCTCGCAACACCCGAACCCCCAAATCCCCAACTGCGATGCTCGGGGGAAACCCAGCAGCGGCCGAATATCCCCATCCTTCCGCACTCGTTGCCAAATATCCCTATTCTTCCACACTCGTTTCAGTTCCCCTATCCTCCAGCACTAGCGGACACAGCAGCATGCCGATCCGCCCAGGCCTCGTTTGAAGCACCTCCGCAGCTGCTCTCATCCTCGTTTGAAGCACCCGCACAGCCACACCCCCCGCTCCTCCCCACTCGCCCTTATCCCTGGACCTCGCACCCTTACACCACACCTGCTCCCTTTCACCCATTTCAGCGGCCGGCCTTATCTGCTTCAGCTCCCGCCTTTTTTGGTCCAACTCACACGCGGCCCTTTCCCCTCACTCCCCCGTCCTTTCGCCAGTCGTCTCCCACCTCTCACGCCCTGAATCCTCAGTCCACGAGAGAATCTGCCGTGTCCTTTCGCCAGTCGTCTCCCACCTCTCACGCCCTGAATCCTCAGTCCACGAGAGAATCTGCCGTGCCCTTTCGCCAGACCCCGTATCCTTCCGCCCCGGCTTCTTATGATCCTTCTACTCCCCCACCTGCGACACTCGCTGCCACGCCTCCTCGCAACAGTCCGCACAAGCACCTTTCGCCACAATCACACCGAATGCTTTCGCCACAGTCACAGCAGCCTCCCTCACACCAGCACCTGCGCCCACTCTCCCCTCTCTCTTCCCCAACGGACCTGCAAGGCTCGGCAGCGCCGGGAGGCTCGGCAGAGCTTCGGCATAAAAGTGACAATATGGAGGGGCACATGAAGGAGGGAAACAGCGAAAGTGGCAGTGGGGGCGCAGCGAGCATGGCCTGTGACTATAACGGGCATGGCACGACGCCAGCTGCGGGCATGGGAATGGGAGAGGCGTGTGATTATAACGAGCCGCCAGCTGTCAAGCCTCGATTGGTGTGCCTGGTACCAGCAGCCAGCAGATCTTTCACGTTCGGAGATCAGTACAAACGCGCACTTGCTTTTGCTGCCAGTGCTGGAACTGACGGTAACAGGGTAACCACCAGCGGTGAAAGCAGCAGGGAGGGGGCTGCCTTCGCCAGCCGTCTGGTTACCAACAAGTGGGTAACCAGTAACGCAGTAACCAGCACTTGGGTCGACGCTGCAGAGGAGAGGCAGGCTGGTGGAGAACCCAAGGGGACGAGGACTAGCAATAATAGCCCGCCAAGGGATGAGGCCCGGAGAATCGACAGATATGGTGACTATGATAGTAAGAGGTTCAAATCGCTCAGCGCGGATCACTTCCCTATTATCACCTCCCCCGGTGACTCTGAAGATGGTGACTATAACGGCGGCGGTGGTGGGAGTAGCCTAAGGGAACCTACCCGGAAGCTGCGGCAGGGAACAGATGAGGAGGGAGCGGCAGCAGGCGGGGTTGGGGTTGGTGCTACTGGGATGGGGGAGGCTGGGTGCGGGACTAGCACGAGTGCTTCTGCGGCCGGTTCTGCTGCTGCTGCTGCTGGAAGTGGTGCTGGTGCTGCTGGTGCTTCTGCTGATGCTGCTGTTGCTGCTGCTGGGGTTGGCGACGCGGCACCCCACCCCAGCAGCAGTAGCCGCGGCGCCATCGCCATGGTGGAGACGTATCAAACGCCGCTGGAACCCCGCGGTACTACTACCCATGACGCGACTGCTGACGGTGCTGCTCATGATGCTTATGATGCTGCTCGTGCTGCTGGTGCTGCTGCTGCCGACGCTGTTGATGGTGCAGAGGGTGCTGCTACTAACGGTGCGCCTTGTAACGGAAATGACGGTGGTACTAACGGCGAGGCGCCGTCCAATGCCTTCGATCCCGTCACAAATGCTGACATTGACATATCCTTCGTACTCGCAGCCGAGCCTCACAGTATCACCGGCGACGCTGCCGCCTGCCAATTCGGCGAATTAGGGTTTGAATTCGGGCAATCGCTTCTGCTCGAACCGTTCGCTGCCGCTGTGCAAGCCGTCGGACCGGTCAACCTGACAGAGGCCGGTCGTAATCTAACCGCAACGCATTGTCTGACGCCGGGAACCGCGCATGATTTGACCGCGACGCATCCTGGTTCTACTGAAATGCGTACATGTGACTCGGGGATACTTATGCTACCACCGGTTGAGTTTGCCGTGCCGAGTGTTACCGCCTGGGACAATCACGGAGGAGTGGCAATGATGGATATGAGCTAGCGTTCCCAGGATCAAGTCAATCGGAGTACCTCTATTGTATTGCGAGATAGTCTAAAATGTTATTTAATTTATATATATACTAACATCCCTGGCTGGGATGCACGTTGCGGAAAAAGGACCCATACGGACTCGTGAAACGAAATAATAACGTAAAGACAAATCGACGCAGTGATCGTTCTTGATACCCCGCCTGCCTGTGGACGATGTGAAGGAACTGGAATACATCAGCCATGGAAAATACCGAGTGCCGTTGAAGTACTGCCTTCCGCAGTGAAATCTCGAGAATCTCAGAGGGCACACATTTCCGAGTCCACGCCGAGGAAATGACGGACCGCCGTGTTTGCGCGTTTTCGATTCCTTTCGGCAGTGGCTTTGACAGCGACCCCCACCGCGCTCACGCCCAATTCCCGCGGTCAGTTTATATTGCTGTTTCCCGTTTTTC